CCTTCTCTGTAAAGCTTTTCTGCGTCTTTGTAGCTCCCCTGGTGTGCAAGCACTGTGGCCAAATTGTTCAGAGACATGGCAACATCTGGGTGATCCACACCCAACACTTTTGTCCTCATTTCCAGCCCTTCTCTGTGAAGTTTCTCTGCTTCTTCATAGTTCCCTTGCTTGCTCAGCACCAATGCCAAATTGTTCATAGAAGCAGCAACATCTGGGTGGACTTCACAGAGCACCTTCTTACTAATTTCTAAATCGTCACTTTGCAGTCTCCTCGCTTCTTCATATTTCCCCTGGTGCATAAGCACAGATGCCAAATTGCCCAAAGAAGCTGCAACACATGGGTGCGCCTCACCAAACACTTTCTTGTTTATTTCCAACCCTTTCCTGTGAAGCTCCTCTGCTTCTTCGTACTTTCCCTGGAGCCCAAGCACCACTGCCAGATTGTCCAAGGAAGTAGCCACACCTGGGTGAAAATCATCCAACATTTTCATTCTCATTTCCAGACCTTCTCTGTGAAGCTTCTCTGCCTCTTTGTAGTTCCCCCGCATGCTGAACAACAATGCCAAATTGTTCAAAGAAGTGGCAATATCTGGGTGGTGCTTTCCCAACAATATTCTCCTCATTTCCAATGCTTGTGTGCACAGCTTTTCTGCTTCTTTGTACTGCCCTTGTTTACCAAGAACCAATGCCAAGTTGTCCAAAGAAGTAGCAACATCTGGATGTAGCTCAGGCAACACCATCTTGTTCATATTGAGCCCTTCTCTATGGAGTTGCTCTGCTTCCCTGTATTTTCCCAGATGCCTGCATGCTGATGCCAAATTGTCTAAGGAAGTGGCAATACATGGGTGAAACTCATCCAACATTTTCCTCCTTATTTCCAGCCCCTCTCGGTGAAGTCGCTCTGCTTCTTTGTACTTCCCCTGCATGCTAAACAGCAATGCTAAGTTATTCAAAGAAGTGGCAACATCTGGGTGGTCCTTGCCCCACACCATTTCCTTCATTTCTAGATCCTCCCTGTACAGCCTCTCAGCTTCATTGTACTTCCCCTGCTTGCTGAGCACCAACGCCAAATTGTTCAAAGAAATGGCAACATCTGGATGTTTCTCATCTAACACTTTCCTCCTTATTGTCAAGTCCTCTCTTTGGAGCTTCTCTGCTTCTCCATACTTCCCCAGCTTGCTGAGCACCAATGACAAATTGTTCAGAGAAGCAGCAACACATGAGTGTACCTCACCAAAAACCTTCTTGTTTATGTCCAGCCCTTCTCTGTGAAGCTTCTCTGCATTCTCAAATTTCCCTTGGAGTCTCAGCGCTGATGCCAAATTGTCAAGAGAAGTGGCAACATCAGGGTGAACCTCACCCACCACCTCTCTCCTCATGTCCAGCCCTTTTCTGTGAAGCCTCTCTGCTTCTTGGTACTCCCCCTGCTTGCTGAGCACCAATGCCAAATTGTTCAAAGAAGTGGCGACATCTGGGTGTAGCTCACCAAGCACTTTCATCCTCATTTCCAGCCCTTCCCTGTGCAGCCTCTCTGCTTCTTCATACTTCCCCTGGCTACTGAGCACCAATGCCAAATTGTGCATGGAAGTGGCAACATCAGGGTGTACATTGCCCATAACCTTCTTTGTCATTTGGAGCCCTTCTCTGTGAAGCCGCTCTGCTTCTTGGTACTTCCCCTGCTTGCTGAGCACCAATGCCAAATTGTTCAAAGATGCTGCAATATCAAGGGGGGCCTCACACCAGCTCATGTCCAATACCTTCTGATGACACCCTTCAGCAAGTGTGTTGTGATCCTGGCTCCAAAAAATTCTTCCAAGCATATGGAGAACCTCCTTTATGTGGGAATCAGTCTCATTGCCACTTAACCTGGCCCACAGCAGCATCCTCACCACCAGCTCCCTAGCAGTGGAATACTCTGAAACGAAGGTCAGGAACTCAGCCAGTCCAAGCACACCATACCAATCAATGTCACCAGGATTTTCGTTACCAACACACTGGCTCATTCCACTGAAAACCTCCCAAAATGCTGAGAAGCCTGTCTCCAATTGATTCATGAGATCCAATGCCAATTGGTGCACCACACTCATATTGCCATTGCTGGTTTTCTCATCATCACAGAGACCTTCACCAAAACATGGCCAATTCGTTTCAACAGTTTCTCTGTATGCCCTCGACATGCTTTGAAATGAGGCAATTGAACGCCAAAATCCCAAGAGTCTCCAGTTTCCAAGTTCATTGTGCATCATTTTGAAGTTGTTTATGTTTGCCAAGAAGAGTACTTGCCTTCCTTGTGCACCCTGCATCACTGTGGCATACTCTTCCATCTTTGACAATGCCTTCAAATGGTCCAATTGGATGTCATGAATCCCCCATCTGGCAGCATCTGTGGCATTGCTTGGGTTGTCTTCACGGCGAACTAAATACAATGCCTCGAGATTGGACAACTGCCTCATGGCATCAGAGGCTGGGATTCCCCACAATGATTGAATCATCTCCCCAGAAGCACATTGGCCATGTGGCAATGTGGAAAGCATAATGTAGGACTCCCTGTCAGATTGAGCCAATCGATCGACTGCCACATTAAAACAAGCACTGATGGTCATGTGCCTGTCCCTGGTTTCTGGATGCAGCATTTCCTCTTTTGGCATCTTAGCATTCGACTTCCAGCGAGGGTCCCTCAGCTCTTTCAACAAACTACTAATCTCATGCTCACATTCATCAAGCTGGCGGTCTGACACAGTCTTTTTCCAAAGAGCTGTTCCAATTGTCAGCGCCAGTGGATGCCCACCAAACATGTGGGCAAGATCCTGGAGATGTGGATAGCATGACCTTGTGCCAGACACCTTGCACACCAGCCTATATGAATCATCACCTGAGAGTGCAGCGATTTCAAATTTGCAGCAGCGATGCTCTGCTGTAACTATGCCTCTGCATTGTGTTGTAACCATGATAGCACAATGAAACTTAGCTACAATGGCCCAGATTGATGCTGATCGTAGATCATCCACAATGATAAGACACTTTTTCTTCAGTAAAAACCGATTGATTGCTGCAATCAGAGCATCCTGAGATTTTGATCCACCAACAGCATCACTGCCCACAAGTCTACGTGCATTGGTGCACAATCTTAGTTCCAATTGAGCATGCACATTCGTCAGCCATTGAGTCTGCTCTGCTTCATTGTCCCCTCGGCAGCCAGCGTGCAGCCACAGCACACAATCTCTGTAGCAGTTGCAAATTTTGTTGCTTCGGACAACTGCACATGCTACTGTGGTCTTGCCTATCCCTCCCATGCCTTCAATAGCCACACGAGGATGTAGCCCCCCAGGCGTGCAGTCCGTCAGGTGTTGCGCCAAGGCCTCCTCCACATCCTTCCTTTCCACATAGTGTTCAGGTATGGATGGCACCCCCGAAGCGTGCAAAAGTGCATGGTGGTTCCTTGGTCTGCAGGGGCCCTGTGAAATGAATTTCACAATAAAAGTTTCAGGTCAAATCCAAATCACCAATCCAAGCACGCCAGGTTGTGTAATATTTTCGTAGTTCATGCGATATGTAGTATGTCAAATGTGACAAATGCTTGTGGATTTGAGAATCACGGTTGTGATCTGTGAATTTACAACAACTGTGGTCAAATGGATACTTTTAGCCAATGCAGTTTCCGTAGACAAGGGCAGAAAACAGGAAGGCAGCACAAAGCAGGAAAGCAGGAAAGCTGGCTCTGGCACACCACATATTCCATATTGCCTGAGGAAAGCAGCACAAACTGAAGCATGTGAACAGATGTAATCCAACGCACCCCAGCACAGAAGGCAACAGTGCAGAAAGCAACTGTCACTACCAATGTCATGGCCACCCACTGGAATGGCGCCTGCAGCAAATGCATTGAAGAGCCACTCAGTCTTAATGGCAAGTACCAACTCTTGCTCACTGCGCCTTCTGGGTAAAAGATGGCATAGCAAAGTACTAAAAATGGGCATGTATCTCTGCTGTTATGATACAGAGAGCTGTTTTCTGCTAGGAAGTATGGCCCTTGCAACATTTTTATTAGGAAGATCCAAATATGACCTTGCACAGTTCCAGCAACAGTATTACTGAAACAGCAGAAAATGTTGCATTGGATGCACACATTATTTGGTTGTCAATTACCAAGTACCAATGACATGCAATTGGTCTGATTTTCGACATGACATGATTTCGTATAAATGGAAGCGTACACTTGATGCAAATACTAACAAGCAAATCAAGCTAAATACCTTTGTTCAAGGATGTGGTGAGATAACAATTCCTAATCCTCAATTACTCAAGCGTATGTTCATGGTACCTCCTCAATGTTCAAAGTCATCTATGAATATTGTGGCAGGGATACAGTTCCTTGGCAGCAGGCTTCGTATTTGTGGCATAAAACCAGCGTCATTAAGTGTATTTCCGCCTGAAATACTGGTTTAACGGTTTTATGCATAAAAGCATATAAATAGGCGTTTATATAGGCCCCGTATACATGCGCCCTGTACATACAGACTCAGGGAGTCGGGGAGTGGCAGCCAGATGCGCTGGAGTGGGAAATGACGAACGTTTGTTTGGTGACATCATTGCCTTTTGCCGAGGACGAGGTGGGTGCTGTATTGCAGGTGCTCGAAGGGACGCCGGACTGAGCATCGTTTGGGATTTCAGCATATAGCTTGAATTTGTCAGCGCACCATAAGAACGCATAAATATGGCCCTAAGTGTTGGTGATCCTCTGTTTACGTGTTTTTACATGTGGAAACGTGCATAGGACGACGGTGCAGGAAACGCAGAGACCAACACAGCTTGGCAGCTGAACGTGTTTCTACCTGGCAAATCACAACGCAAGTGTGCTGAAAGTTACAGGAAAACAATATTTAGGACTGAGGAGTATTCCAAAGCTCTGTATTACAACAAAATGTAAAAGTCAAACTGTTTTGTACCATTGAATCATTTTAGAGGCACAAAATTGTCCAGTATGCATGATTTGCAATGTTTCAAGCACACACCATGGAAACATCCACCCTTGTCTCCACAATGGTATCATCAATCCATGTACGGAATTTTGCCACATCAGTGAACAAGGCGGCACAGTTGGCCAAAGTGCAGTCTCCATAGCCAATTGATGTGATGCCCAAAAGCAGGTCCTTATCAGGCTGCCCACTTTCTATGACCCCATCTTGTTCATCTGGTACGATTAGAGGGCCACCTGAATCACCTGTGGACACAAGAGCCATTGGACCACAAAACGGACTTCACACTCTAGAGCAAATCTTCTAAGTTCTCTTGATGCTTTCCACTGGCAGAAAATCAACTCAACTAGAGAGCTTTGAAATGGTGCACCACGTTACACAATTCAAAATCATGATCAAAGTGTGTATTATTCCCAGCTCACCTTTGAAGAAAACACTTTCTGAGCATGATTGCACATGTGTCTTACTGCGTTCTTGTTCACCATTGCATAGATTTGTGCAGCAAGATATATTATAAACCAAAAGATGGCACGACTCTGTACGACAATTTGTAGCTTGGGAGATTTTCAGTTGTATTGAGATACTCCACAATGAGATGAATGAGGCTGCAGAATGGTGGGCAGTAGGAGTGAAAGAACGAGGTGGCACTGGGACATTGGAAGGAGCAAGTTGTCCTGTTCATCCAGGCAAGAGTGCTGGTCCATATCCTCACTGACAGTAACCCTCATTTGGAGCTTGTACACTCAGCTAGGTCCGTTGCCCCACCAGATGCAGGCCATCAAGCAATAGAAAGTGCTCACTTCAGTATCATACACTATTGCAATGTATACCAGACCCATCCTTAGCACATCCAGGCTGGGCATAATATCACACTACCATGCAGACCACCCCGGGGCCCATATTTGCATTCTGGGCTCATCTTTCATACCAAAAGAGTGACACACATTTACCAGGGAGCCAGACACCCATTCTTAGTGCTACACACAGCTGTAGAGCTACTGTCCCTTTGGCATGCATCATTTCCCTAGAATGCATCAAAGTGCAATTCTTTGAAAGGAAGATTAGGATCGGGTTAAGAGTATTTTGCAGAAAATATCAGAGACCAACAAAAATGAAATGGAAATGACTACCTTTGCAAGGGCACTGGATGGCATCATATGCGCACAACATATGTGGCCGCAGATGTCCCCTGAGAGGACAGCGGTCGCCACGTACAATGGTCATCTTAATTCCCATCAGAGAGCTGTCTGATGACCGCTCCCACTTCCCAGTAGAAACACCCAGCTGGAAATTCCAACCCCATCCAAGAGCAAAAACCCGCGTGTGTGGTTTGGTCATGGACCGTCTGTCTGGCAATATGATTGGGTCAACATTTCCAACAGCTTCGGGAAGCACCAACAGTGCCATGTCAAACCCATCTTGGAATTCCCCATTCCATCGAGGGTGAAGAACCAATTTCTCTGCTCTCATGACCTACAAGCATACCCAAACATGAACTGACCATGCTATTGACACATTACGCCAAGTGAGAAACCAGACAGCACTGTAACAGATTTGAGCGTGTCTGCCTGGAATATTGCATTCCCAAAGATCAAGGTTCCCCAACAGGCACACTGAGCAAAACCTTCTACAAATTCCAAAGCATCTATCTGGTCTTTCGATGATTTTCATTAATTTTCCTGATGCCAGGAGCAGGGAACCCTGATGCATGATCTCACCTGCACACCATCTTTTCTGTCATCATCATGGGTATTGAGGGCCCCGATCTGGACAAGGGGGTTTCGTCCAATGTCCTTCTCACAATGTGCAGCTGTCAGCACAAGGCGGCGATGGACAAGGACACCTCCACAAGTGTGAGATCCCCCAGAGGTTGGCCTGAGACTGACCATATAGGGGAACCGCCCTAAGGGGGCTTTGTTGCCTCCCTGCACAGCAGCAAGCGAATGTGTGACATCATACTGTATGCAGCAGTCTGGAAGAGGCATTCCATTTGTGCTTTTCCACAGCCAGTCCCATTGCTACATGTTCAAGGTGCATTCCAAGCCAACTGAACAATGCAGTGACAGAAGGGCACAAAATAATGCTCTGAAAATGCAAGTGTAGCCAGGCATCGCTGTTCATCATGAGGAAATCCTGGCATTGAAAACTGTTGAATAGGGCTTACCCTAGAAAGGTATTCAGCTGTAGGAGTGGTTCTGAACCGCATCTCTACATGTGCATCCAAACAGGGAATAGTCCTGTATTGGCCTCCATTCTTTGAAGTTCCACAGCTGCTGCTCATGCCGTGTGAGATAGTCAGAAGACATGCCAGGATGCACACTGAGAACACCCCCGACCCCCTTATGCCCCATGGCCAGTTGTAGGCAGCCATAGCCTCTGAGAGCAGGAGGAGCCGCCATCAAGACCCACATGTTGACATGATCCTGCAACACACCACACAGCAGCTGCAAAGCTGAATAGAGCCATGAACCCCAGTGAAAGAACATGTCCACACTGTCAACCATGGAACGTCTCAGCTTGGACCATCCTCTCAGAATATCAGGGCATGTGTCCCCTGCTATGGAGAGTTCAGTTACACTCAAGGTTCCAGGATGCATGGTTGACAACATGGCAAGGACATTGGTGGACGACCTTGGAGACCTTTGATGTGAACCATTGCGGCATGCAAAGCAATAAAACCTTATACCTGCCTGCTGCATTTTCAACCCTCAATGCCAGCTGTTCTGCCACACAATAACCATCCTTCACAGTCTTACTGGCTGCTGTTTTTGCCGCCAGATGTTGCCAGAGTCCGGGTCGGTGGACAGCAGCTTGCTGCACCAAAGACAGCGCATCTTTTCTGCACGGGGTTGATCGTTACCCGACCTCCAATCGCCCCCAACATTGCTGAACGCGTCTGTTTCAAACCTGCCACTAAAACGGACATTTCCCGCACGGTATTGGCGACAGAGCACGCAAGTGTCTGCTCTGCTTCACAACAAACCACGCAGAGAAGTCTCAGTCCAGGCAAAAGTAATCTCCTTGCTCCGTTTGCTGGATTTTCCCGCCAACGACGCCAGCCCCGGTTCCAGACCAAAAACACGCAGTGCTTTCGGTTCGAGGCGGCAAGTCCACTGCAGGGCATCGGGCCACGCACTGAATATCTGCCCCTGCTAAGTGCTCCTCAGTATGCATAGCATATGATCTCCAAACAGTGTTGATCTAGATCCCGCCCATGCGACGGCTCGTCCCTTTCTAATGCGCCGCCCTCAACAAGGGACACGAGTGGCCGCAAGGAAGGCGCGACGGTGGCCTCGCGCCGCGGAGGCCGTTCGAGTCCTTCTTGGGCAGAGGGAGAATCCGTGATGCGCCGTTGGATGTAAGCAGCCCGCCGAGAAACAAGCCCGAACCTTCGCGCGGATGGAATGAAAAGACGACCCGCACCGGGATTCGACGCCTGACGCAGTTGGGGTGGCCGACTCTCAAGATCGACGCCCAAGGAGCGCGGCCAGTCCTGAAGAGGCGCAGGCAAAAGGCCGGGTCGATCGCAGACCGGGATCGGATGTCGCAGGGACGCCAGGGGTGAATGTTCAGGAACTCCGGGAAAGCTGAACCTGCAGCGAGCCCAACTCGAGGGGAACGGTCGACTCAGTGGCAAGCGCTGGTGGAGGGCGCTCCTTTGTTTGGCTTGCCCTCCTTTTGGGGTCTTGGGAACCATGCTGGTGCGCCCAGCGGGCTTTGATCCAACGCGCGGAGTGCCTCCGAAAGTGTCACGTGGGTATCCGCCGGAATCCCGAGCGGCAGCCCCGGTCGACTTGGAGATGCGCAATTGACGTTAGTTGATCGAAGGTAACTCGGGTTTATGCCGTGTTGGGAATGTTGGTCCATTATGTTGAACGGGGCACATTTATTTTCTTGGACCTATCAGGTCGATACTCCCTTAGGAGAGGTATTATGCCAGATTGAGCGATGAGAATGGGACAGTACTGATCTTATACCTAACGTAGTTGCAGTACTGAGAACGATGTTGGTACACACGTCCGGCCTATTTATTGGGAATTAGACGTGGAGTTGTTTGTAACTCGGTTGGCACCCAACCTGCTAGACTTGAGCCTACGGGCTATGAATGTCTCCGCACTCCAGTCACAATGTGGCTGTGAGTGAGTCCCGAGCACCCGCCTTGATTCAAGCTGTTGTGTGGGATAGATGTTGTGAGGTGTGACACTAGAAGTTGCCTTGCCGCCCAAACCCAATAAGTACAGCGGCACTCTGTCAGCCACACCTTGTGAAGACGTCCACCATGTCTGAGGTCGGTGCCTTCAGGGTGCGGTGTGAGTCAGACCAGGAGTGGGGTGTTCACCAGTCAAGCACACCTTGGACGTTAGTACGAGGCCTGGTGGTAACTTGGACCGGTTAGCGGCATGGATACAAAGGGGGGGCCGAAAAAAATGTTGCTATCTTTGCTTTTGCTTCATGACTCTCATCACATGATGCACTCCCATAAGCGACTCGGACTTGGTTTCCTCCTAGCTATTCTGACACAAGCTACCATCATGGCCAAGCTGTGATAGCAATCCTGTCTTCCTGCAGAGACAATGTCACGCCCCTTGATGGGCAAAGCTTCCAAGTCCATTGCAAAATTGCGACGGGAGTTTGCCGACCTGCAAACTCAGCTATGCGGCCCTTCGGCCGACCCCGAGGCATCCCGTCAGACAGGAGCACTCCTTGAGCGCTTGAGAGCCCTTTGCCTTTGTTATGCGGGTGACGTAAGCCAAGGTGTGACTCGGCATTTGATTGCGATGCCGGCCGAGCTCTCCCATTTTGCTAACAATCCCATCCCACGGCCCTTGAAGGCGTGTCGACCGGGCAAGCCCTACGTGATTGGCGAAATTGTGCGGGGGCAATATTTGGCTACGAAGCCGGCTACGAGCTCCGTATACGGAGCTTGGAGCGGGGGGCAGATTCTACTAGAAGTTGTGTGCCTAAGCCCCTTTTTGAGCTATCTTTTCAACGTGATGGTGACCTTTGTACAACTACTCTCGGTGAAAGACTTCGACCCCGCTCACCGAGCTGCCCTTGTGGGAATCGCCGAGTGCCTTCACGCCATCTTGGATAGGGCCTTGTCCAACATCCACATCCATTCTTTGTGGGCACGTCACGGCCCCACGGTTACCCATGCCTTCCAAACGCAGCTTCGCCTCAAGCCTCGAGGCTCGAGGGTTCCCATCCTACTACCATTCCCGACCAAATTGTAGTCTTCAACAAGACGTTTGTGGAGAAGATACTTGCGGCTCATCAGAAACAGACTACCAACGCAGCGGCAAGGGTGTTGGCCTTTTGTCCAGTTCCGGCTAATGCGGTGGTAGGGGAGGCGGTCGTGGGAGCCATCGGGGGTGCAGTTCTAGTGTCCTAGGGCATGGACGAGGTAGTTCTTTGGCTAGCTCCGCGAGCGCTGCCAATTAATGGCCCCCTGTACGTGATGCGCAGGCAAGCTATCGGCACTGCGGGGTGGGGTGTTCCACCCCCCAAAACAGGGGGCTCAAGCCAGCTTCCCGCTCTGACCGGCATATCGGCAGTCGACTTTACTATGGACTTTACGCTACCTGATGCGGCCCCCCTGGCTTCGAACTCTGACGGGCATACTACCCATGAACTTTCTCCGCGCCTCACCTGCACTGGCAGCCTGTCGCTGGTAGTCGATGAAGGCGTTGGACCTCAATCCTGAGCACTTTCTGTACATCAAGATGCGCCGCTCAATCACAGCCTGGCGGGGAATTGGGGCCAACAAGACGACATTAGGATGGATTTCTCAGGGCTACAAGCCGCCATTTCTCAAGGGCCCCCCGCCCTTCGACACCAGCAACCTAACTTTTTTTGTGGGGGAGGACTTAGCAGCGTGGGAGATTGCGCTTACAAAATACCTCAGAAGGGGAGCCATTCGTTCGGCCTCTCACTCCTCACATGTCAGCTGGTCGTTTGTGTTCCTGAAACTCTATGGGAGCCAGAGGTTGATTGTGGATCTGCGCCCCCTCAACAAACAGCTGGTGGAGCGGTGCTTGAGGATGGCGGACTTGAAGGACTCGGCATATGCTTTTCACCGAGGGGATTGGATGCTGAGCTTCGACGTGGAGGATGCTTATTTTTACGTGAGTTTGCATCAGATGTAATACATCCTCAACATGTGAAATTTGTTAGAATTGGAGTCAATGACCAATTGTGGGGGATCCCTGTGCTAACCTTTGGCCTCAAGACCAGCCCTTACCTGTTTTCCAAAGTAGTAGCGCCGCTGGACGGGTCCCTTGGCGCACCCCACCTAGTTCCACCCCAAGCGCCCCCACGCCCCCCCTCGCAGGTCGGGCCTTCGGGCCCTTTGGGATCTGAACTCGGAGCCCTTTGTGCTCCCTTACATTGATGACTCCCTCTCAACTCTGGCGGACTGACTTTAGCTTCAGACATTTTCTCACCACCACCAGCTGGCGCTCCTGGAACCCAGCTTGTCCATCAAACATTCCAAGTACATCTTCACATTAGTGAGACGCCTTTCCCACTTGGACTTGGCGACTTGCAAGTCCTCGGTGCCATCCTCCAAGTTGCTTCAGCTCCACTGCGAAGGCTCCTTCTCCAAGCTACAGCTGCTCACCAGGCGCATCTTCCCAAGGCCAAATTGCTGGTGTACTTCCTTGGACGGGTGGCATTATTGGGGATGGCGGTCTGCCCAACCAAATTCTATATGAGGAATCTTCCTCGCGATTTGGCTCTCAAGACCAGCTGGAACTCTATGGCTCAGCCGCTCCGGGCGGCTCTGTTGTAGCTGCAATTCTGATGTGCCATTCCACGTCGATTTGTGCGCAGCCCCTTCCACCGAACCCCACATCACATTGTGTTGGCCACCGATGCTTCTCTTTAGTGATAGGGGCCATGCTTTATAGTGACCCGGCCGCACCTCTGTCTCCACCCCGCCGTCTCTTGCTTGGGGCTTCTGTACAGCCCCCGAGCGCTTACTCCACATCAACGTCTTGGAGCTCGAATCCGTCCTCTGCGCTATGAAGACGTTTTGCCCATCGATTGGCCAGTCGCCAGGCGCATACTGATTGGCAGGTGGTGTTCCATCTGCTTCAACCCTGCGCAGAAAAGTGGACCCCTTTATCTTCGCCTTCGGAACTTGTTTTATATGCTGGTCATCGCAAGGATCATCTTACAGCCGCGCTGGATGCCCGTGGCGATGAACACCATTGCAGATCACATGTCGCGGGAAAGGGACTTCGAAGATTGGCCACTCCATCCCGGAGTCTGGCTTGTCCCTGGTCCCTTTCTAATGCGCCGCCCTCAATAAGGGACACGAGTGGGTGAAAAGAAGATGAGACAATGGCCTCATGCTGCGGAGGCGGTTCA